ATATGCTAAAACCATAGCTGTCCACATGGCTGTTTTGGGAGACAGGTCCTTTAAACACAAGGTTAAAGTTAGCGAGATCTGGGCCCGCTAATATGACTGGTGCCGTAGCCCGTCCAGCTACTCACCTGTACCCACCCCGGCCCTCCCTCCTCCCTCCTCCTGACTAAATGATCTGGAAAACATACAACTCAGAAGCCGGGGCACTCTGGGCTCAGAATGAAGACTCCTTCCCTTCTTGCCCCACCCACCCTGCCACCTCAGCACTTAGCACACGGTTCCTCTTCCTCTCCGGGGATCTGGGCCCCCGGGTTGTTTTGTTTGCTTGGTTTTCTTGTTCCTCCACCTTACCTTGTACTGTTCCATCATGGTGTTTGCATACATGATTCCCTGACTCTACTAGTCAGCAATGCCTGCTTCTCGGCTCTCTGTGGCTTTTTAGGGTCGTCCCCTGTTCTCCATGGGTACCCACCCACCCGTCCTGTGTGCCCCACCCTAAACTCAGACATTAGACATGAGCTCACTTTCACAGTCTGTTCCCCAGTGTCACCTCTGCCTGTGTGAGCAGCACAGCCTGTCTGTATCCCTGTCTGGCCGGGGCCCTGGCACTGGCTCTCGCTTGCCTTCATTCTCCTGCAAACTTTCACCATGGGGTAGCCAGTATGATTCCTTACACTGTGGCCGGAGCCCGCTGAGGGCCATGGTGAAGCTCAGAGGGATTTGGGGGGTTCTTGGGCCCCACACTTTGCACAGTACCACTCTACCATGTACATCAAGGCAGATCATAGGTATAGGTAGGACTGCCAAAACAGACACCTCAAAACCCCTGGGTGGAAGAGAGGCTAAGTCTGTGTGGGTCCTGTTTTCTGACCTGTGCCATCCACCCCATTCTCCTGGCATGCAATTCCTCCTTTCTGAAAGATACCAGAGCTCTGTTACCTGTAAGCCCATGAATGAAGGAGTGACGGTGGCTGTGGCGGTTTGAATAGGAATGGCCCCCACGGGCTCATGTGTTTGAATGCTTGGTCACAGGGAGTGGCACTATTAGGAGGTGTGGCCTTGCTAGACAAGGTGTGGCTTTGTCGCAGGAAGTGTGTCATTGTGGGAACAGGCTTTGAGGTCTCAAGAAGCTCAAGCCCAGGCTCAGTGGCTCACTGTTTTTTCCTGCTACCTGATGATCCAGATGTAGAACTCTCAGCTCCTTCTCCAGCACCATGTCTGCCTGCATGCCACCATGCTTCCCACCATGGTGATAAAGGACTAAACCTCTGAAACTGTAAGCCAGTCCAAGTTAAATGTTTTCCTGTATAAGAGTTGCCGTGGTCATGGTGTCTCTTCACAGCAATAAAACTCTAACTAAGACAGTGGTTTTTCTCACTACAAGTTTGATCTCTAAATGTGTGCATTCCGAACTGTGATCCTCAACCCAATGAGATGCAATTTCAGCATAAGTGAAGGTGCTCAGGTGTCTGTTGGCACAGAGGTTGACCCTAGGCTAGACCATCCATCTCTTAAATGTCTGCAAAGGGATGGAGCTTGCAGTACATCTTCTCGTTGGGATATCCCATGTCAATTTAAAAGTCAGTGATCATTCAGAGGTTAGTAGCCACCTCAACCCATGCTCCTTGTCCTAGAGGGCTTCAAGAAGTTCTGTGGGTCCTGTCTCCGGATGGGCCAGGTGTCTTTGGGTACCAATGTTGTCCTTGGATGCCTCTCTCTATCTGGCATCTCTTCTGGGATTGAGCTCGCAGGCAGATGTGCCTTCCTGCCAGGTAGGGCTGTGGTTTATGCTCAGTGACTTCCTTGTACCTCAAAGGTTAGCCAGTGTCAAGCTTCAGATCCCTTTGCTTCCAGAAAGTACAGCACCGAAGAGCCAGCAGCCCCTGAGTGGCAGCGCCTGCCTACTCTTAGTGTGTAAATTCTCCTGCCGTGTCCAGTCCAGGCTGTGTGCCATGCTGGTGATGGGAGGTGATGCATAGATAGGGTCTGTACTTGTGGATGTCTGGAGATGGCCCATCACCTAAGTACCAGGAGGCCACCTGAATTTCCTGTCCCCATTTTCAAATCTTCTTCTGAGAGAGCAAGAGGAAGACAGGGAGAGAGGAGGAGCCGCAGCGAGGGAAGGATGGGGAGACCCAGCTGGGCGGGGGGCTTGCCCTCTGGCAGGCAATGTGACCCGCCAGGGCCCCCGTGAGGCTCCACTCCTGCCGTCTGCTTTAATAAACTCTAAACTCCAGTGGCTTATGTGAAGATTTCAGATTAACATTTAAATTAATGCTGGACTTGAAATATGGAGCCCAGGTCGCTGATGTGACTCTCCTTTAACACGTTCTGTGACCTGGGGCAGAAATTTAAAATGATCTTTTCTCAAAGAGCCGTTCCTCCTTGGGGAGGTCAGGGATGGCATGGCAGCGCTGGAGGTACCCCTCCCACCCATCCTGTCCCTTCCAGGAGCTAATGGTGTCTTCCCCAATCATCGTTGTGGGTCCTCCCCATGGGGGCTGTAGCCTTCTGGGTAGCCCCTCAATGCTCCAGCCCCAGGCTGCCTCAGCCTATGGGCTTCTTCTCAGGCCTAGATGCAGAAGCAACGCCGAGATCCTAAGACCCTAAGATGCAGTGAGTAGGTCGCACACAGGAAAAGCACCCTGGTTAGTCCCTGGGAGGGGAGGAAGAGGAGCAGGGTGGGCTAGGAGAGGAACATCTGCCCAGTGACAGCCCTGTACCCCGCAGTGGACACCCCAATGACCCCCATGGCCTTGAAAGCCAGGATTCCTTTCCTGCCTTGCCAGCTCACAGGCCACCCCAGGGAGGGTGACCGTGATCTGAGACTTGATGGCTGGGAAGGTTCCAGACACAGCCACAGTCCTTCCTGGGCAATGCAAAGCCATGCTTCATCCTTGTTCTACCAGCCCCGCTCTTTCGCTACCCTCCATGAACGCTGTCTCTTCTCCTTGGCTAGTCAGGATGAGGGATACGGAAGCCCACTGGGAGGCGCTGGCCCCACAGTTCGTCTCCAGACATCTTATTGTGTCCTGCACCTGACTGCCTAAGACCGGCTCCAGCCAGCATCCTCACTCTAGCAGCAGGAAAAGAAGGACCAAGTGTGAGCTGGCCCTTCCGGGAGTTTCCAGAATAAACAGCTGTAGAGCCAGCAGGCATCAACGGGAGGGGTGCTTGCATCCCATGACCTGAGCAGTATGATGATAGCCCGAACAGCCTCTCAGCCTCACAGGCCATCTCAGCATAGTACCAGCTGAATCACAGCCACCTACATCTGTGACCACGGCCAAGCAAACCTTCCGCCCTCATGGACCATGGTTGAGGAGAAACCCCAGCCATCCCACTGGAGGTCTCAGGCTAACTGCACAGGATTTACCATCCAGTAACAGTCTCCTATCCAAGTACTAACCAGGGCCAACCCTGTTTGGCTTCTGAAACCAGATGAGATTGAATGGTTCAGCTGTATGCTAGTCCAGCGATGGTAACAACGCCTGGCAGCGGCCCATGCTGACCTGGCTGTCATCAGCAGGCTCAGTAGGTAGCTGGGCTTGCATGACGCTAATGCCTTAGTTCCAAGTCTGTGGCTGAGGGTGGCTCAGAGCCTCTGAGCTGGATGTGCAGGCACCAGGGAATGGCTCTGACCCACAGATAGGGAAGGTCCAGCAATAGCCACAGTGCAACATTCATGCCACTATAGAGCCATAGCAACATCTACCTAGAAAGCGACTGGAAAGCAGCAAGCACGCTGCCACCAGTTACCTCCATACACGACCCATCTTTGCCTCGTTAGCCCAGCCCGTGCCACCAGCTGCTACATTCTGGTGCACAATCAGAAGGGCACCTGATCCAGGGGCAGATCCCCAGCGCCAGGAGCTAGTTCTGGGCATGTGAGGTTACACTGCTCCAGCAAGGAGACCCCAGGGTAGAGATCAAGGGTGGAGCAGACAGCTTCTAGGTCACTCACCACCCTGACGAGCCATCTAGACCGGCATGCTGCTATGTCTGCTCACATTACTTGGGTCCTGGGTTTTCCCTGTTGAGTTTCTTCAATGCCCCCCGCAAAGCTGCCGCTGCTGCTGCTGCTGCTGCTGCTGCCGCTGCTGCTGCTGTGCTGACGTCTTGTCCACAGATAGGCAGGGACAAGGAATCCAGAGTTGGCTTCCGGTACAACTGAAGGAAAGCTTTGGAGGCGCCAAAGGCTTTGTTAAGGTAACAGCTCATCTATCTCCAGCTGGATCATGAGCACCCAAGAGGAAGGGAGAAAGATTTCAGGTGGGGTAGACCATCCAGACAGCCCTGAAGAAGTATGTTTCAGAGTTCATAGAGATGGACAATGCCTTCCTGTGATGTTGGTGGCCACCTAGGCCAAAACAAAGCCACCAGAAGGACTCTGCTCGCACCAGCAGCTTCCCTCAAGTCACCACAGTGCCACCTACATGCAAGGGAAAACATAGGGTTTGAGAGACCAGAATATTAGGGCTGGAGAGATGAGATGGTCCAGCGGTTAAAAGCACTTGCTGCTCTTACAGAAGACCTGGGTTGGGTTCCAGCTGTTATGAGGAAAGGCAGTTTCCTAAATTCAGGAGAAAATCTTTTTGTTTCACTTTAGTAAGGATTTCATTTGTCAACTGAAAGAGACAGGAGGCAATGATAGACTTGAAATGCTATACAGGGCCTAGGTTTGGTTCCCAGCATCCAGCAGCTCATTCAGTCCTATGGCCTCCATGCACACCAGGTATGCACATGGTGCACAGACATACATTTATACACATGAAATATAAATGTATTTTTAAAAAATAAAGAACAGGAAAAGACCAGTGTACAAAAGGGTCATAAAGGACCCAGGTCTTGGTCCAGGTGTCTTTGGGCACTGCAGAGCAGGGGTCTCTCAGCCAGAGTCCATGCACATCTGCGGTTGCAGGAGCTCTGTGCCCACGGGTGCAGCAAGCGCTTTTCGACCCATGCTACTCCCCTCCCCTGACCACAGCGTCTGTCTTGTTTAGCATGCAGGGCCCTGATGGACGAGGTGGAATACGACATCAACAAGGCCCGACAGAAGAAAACCAAGGTGGGCTCCTACCGCATCAGGCCTGACGGGACACAGGAGAGGAAAAAGGTAGCGGAAAAGGAATTATGTGCCAGTATATAATTGCGGATATGGGCAATTACCAGCCATTTATCCAAACAGCAGTTGGTCTTAATCTTCTAACCTTGCTCTTGTTCAGGGTGTCAGCTCTAAATTGCTTCTGAGTCCTGGGGGACCCAAAGTAATCTTTAAGCTTGAAATTGAAGTATCTCTCTCAGCACCTAAATTTTGTGTTTTGTCAAGTTGGAAGACATTTCGGCTCCCGTTGTTCATCAAAATAAAAAATAGCAAGTCCATGGTTCTTGGGCAAGACCAGCAGGGGGCCCAGGGAGGTGACAGGGCAGCCGCTCAAAGGCTGTGCATGCCCCGCTTGGGCACTCCACCCCTCCTCCTGCCTGGCTCTACAGATTTCCAGTATGAAGGGGGAGCAGGATGCAAGCTCTTCTCTGGTTAGACAGGCCCGTGGCTCGGGGAAAAGAAAGATCCTCCTTCAAAAACACTCAAAGGGGGCTTGCCCCAAGGGTCCGCAGTGGCGGGTGCTGCAAGGAGGGTGGACTTGACCTGCAGGCAAGAGGGCCAGCAGCCTGAAGGGAGGTCAGACACTTGAGAAGACACCACTCCTTCCCAGCACAGATAGTGAACTCTGGAACTTAGAATAGCTGTCCCCCATGCTGTCCGGTCCGTGTAAAACTGAACAGCCACAGGAGTTGGATTATCTTGTCCTGTGCCAAAGCAAACATGGAAAGTATCTGTCTCTACAGCATTACCTTCCTGACATGGGGCCCACATACAGAGAGGGGAAAGAGCCCAGCCTGAATGGAGGCTTGGCTGTGTGTGTGTGTGTGTGTGTGTGTTCACATGCTAGCAGTATTTCTTTAAAAGCAATTTCCATGTTTTAGTAACTTGAGTGAGGGTTAACGGATCCGCTGTTAGATCACTTGGATCAGTAGGATGGATGCTTTTCATGGAGCAATTGGGGAACCGAGGAAAGTTAAGAAGGCAAATGCTGTCCCGTGGGAGAGCAGGGGAAGGGTGCAGGGCTGGAGGGATCAGAAGGAAATGGGTGGCTGCTTGTTGGAAGCACAGTATCCTAGCCCTTAAACAATCCGTGATCCTGGAGATGACCTTGCAGAAGAAATAGACCCTGTGGTACTGACCACTGTGGCAAAGCCAGACACACAGGGAGTTGGATGAAGTGACCCAAGCCTCTCCCTTCTCATCCTCCTGCAGCATCCTCCAGGGACTTCACCAAGGGCTGTCCGGGTAAGAATCCTGCACCTTCCTGAGCATCTAATCCTAAAAAGGAGTTAAGTTTACCGTTCCCCTCTCCTGCTTGACCCACCTTGGCAAGATTAGTCCAAAGAGTTTTTCTGATTTGCCAGGACACAAAATAACTTCAAAGTGCCCTCTCTATTGCACGTATCATGGAACATTAGACATGGAGACAAAGCGGGGTTCAGTTCATCAGGAACTTTGGCAGCTGTTAGCGGGCCTTAAAATCAGCATAATGTGGTGGTTATAAGAAAACATATAAATGCCAGAAAGCATCTTCTAGAAAAGGAGGAGGTCTATGCTGTGTTATTTTATGTAAAGTGTTAATATAAAAAGTAGGCCATGTCTAAACATCCAAAAGCCACTAAGGCAGGTGTCTGTCCCCAGCATGGGAGAGCAGCCTGAAGGGACTTTGTTTGAGAAGACAATGAACCAAACAACATCACACCCATTCCTGGCTGCCTAGGCAGAGAAGGCAAGGCCTCTCTGAGTGCAGAGGCTCCAGCAGCCATAGCTTTGGGTGTAGAGGCCTGTACTTTTATACAGACAGAGCCCAGACAGGACACCCACATGCAGGATCCACCCTGGCTCTAGGCTTCAGTGACTGTATCCTTGGTGATCGACTCAAAGCTTCCATAACTTGATACCCAGACTTGGGATTGCAGATCACATGAAAGATTCCTCCCAGTCACTGAGGTCTGAACTCTGATTCCTAGACATGACTGAGACTAGTGTGAGTGCCGTGCTGCAGAAGGCCATAGCAGACCTCTGGGGGAGCCTTAGGATGGTCTGGGGGAGGACAGACAGTTTGGTGGATATTAGTGTTATGGCAGAAGGAGCAGTGTCTTACTATGCTCCTTTATCATAGTGGAAAATCACTTTCCACCTCCAGCCCCTTCCACCTCAGTCAAGAAAACCTCCCTTGACCACCTAGACCTAGACTCACACCTAGACCAACTAGAACCCATGGGTGTGGAGCCTGCTACGACCCTCTCAGAGCCACCTAGACCTAAGCTAAGGCTTGGGTGCTGGCCTGTCCCAAGTACAGAGCAAAGGTGGAAGATAGTGCCCATTCTGTGTCACCCTCTTCAAGTGTGGAGCTCAGGGGATTCGGAGGCCAGTGGAGCACGGGTTGTCCTTGGTCTGTGGCGAGTCCTGTGAAGAAAACAGAGTGTGGGGCCTTCCTTGACATCAGGACACCTCTTTACTTTCCGTTACTCTATTCTTCTGAATCAAAATGACCACACCTCTTAACTACCAACCATGGCATGCACAGGGCTCTTTGTATGGAGGAATAGTAGATAGTCTACCCCTTTCCCTGACTGCACCAACTGCTCACCTCACAGAGGGCAAACAGCAGTGATGGGTGGATGGATGGATAAATGGATAGATGAGTGAATGGATGGGATGGATAGATAAATGAATGGATAGGTGAATAAATGGATAGATAGATGGATGAATGGATGGATGGATGAATGGATAGATGAGTGAATAGATAGGATGAATAGATAAATGAATGGATAGATGAATAAATAGATGGATGAATGGACATGTGGATGGATAGCTAGATGGGTGAATGGATGAATAACTCTGGTCTCCAAGCCTATAAAACTTGGGCTGTATACAAATTTTAAAAATAATTTATTTGGCAACGTTGCACTGAATTTTATTGTAAAGCTTCTGTTTCCTTAGCTTGGTTTATATAGAAAACATTTAAAATTTTTTAAATTCATTTGTCTGTTTGGTTAGCAAGAATAAGAAAGAATGTACATGGCATGTATGGTCAGGTCAGAGGGCAACTTGCAGTATTCAGTTCTTTCCACGCATGTCCCAAGGAGCAAACTCGGGTCTCAGCCTTTCTGCCCCAAAGGCTGCCCAGGCAGGTCTCAATGCAAATCCAGCACTCCGTAAGCAGAAGGGCACAGAAATGCATGGGGGCGGACACTTCCCCCAGCACCACTAGACCCTGGGGGGCTCTGCCACTGCCATGGAGAAAGTGAGTCAGGAGGTAGCAGCCTGCCTTAGCCAGGGCAATGAGCTCAGGCCCAGGATAGCTGCCTTGGAGCTAGGCCTTGGTCACTGGATTTTCAAAAACAAAACAAAAACCAGGAACAGCCTCAAACCCAAGTACAAGCCTGCCTGTCTCCTCAGTGCATGGCTGTTCTCTCCACATACCAGAGGCCTGGTGTGGTAGACAGCTCCAGGATGAGCCAGGGGCAGCCGGTGCTCCCAGGATGGGGAACGAAGACACACAGGTGGGCAGTTCACGTGGCTGTGCTCCAGGCTCAGCAGGGCTGTGCTCCACCTGAAGTCAGGGGGGTGCAAGAGCCAAATGTCACCTCCATATTCATTAACCTTCAAGGAACAAAAACAGGCATCAGTTGACAGGAAAGAGAGGGTGGACTGCAGGGGGACAGGAAAACTGTCCTCAGGCTTTTGTGCTGTTATCGAGTCCCTTGGGAGCACCTCTCTATCAACACCTTGAATGTCCTCCTCATGCCAGAGATAACATAGGGCTTTTATCTGGGGCTGGGCTGTGGGAATTGCAGACTCTCGTTCCCCACCTGAAAGAGATGTTCCTCTGATCAGTCCCCTCTCCTCCCATGTGGTCACACCAGAAACAGAAGCAGCAGCAGCAGGAAAGTCTCCTCCAGTCCACTGGCCCAGATGCTCAGCAGGGTGGTGGGCAAGACCTGACGGGGGTACCTCACTGACTGATGGGCACCAGTACCCATACCCTGTGTCTGTGTGATGCCTGATGCCCACACAGGGAACTCACTTCCAATCCCTTTGCGTAGGTCAGCCTGGCATCCTCATCAGCTAGGGCTGCCCCAGGCTTCCTCGTCCTCCCACACCCCTGGCAGAGTCTAGATGTCCACTTGCCGAGAATTCCTGAAGAGGCAGAGGCTGTGCCCTGCAGCTCCCATCCCTCAGCTGGCCTCTGTGGCTGAGGAGCACCCAGTGCTTGCTGACACTGTGCCTCCAGCTGTGCGCACCTGTTCAGCATATTAGCTGTGGGGTGTCTGTCACCCTCTACCCCTGGTCCTAGAGTCCTGTTGTATGCAAGTCTCCACCCCAATCCCTTGCTAACCCATGGAGGAGGCCTCCAAAGTGCCTAGGCCCTGGCACCAGGGCTGCCTCGTGTTCAGGGCAGGTGGACTGGACACTGAAATGGTAACAGGCGTAGCCTGTGTCCCAGCAGCCTGGCTCCCTTCCTGATCAGCTTCTTCCTAGCAAGCCTGAAGTCACCAGGAAGCCTATTAGGAGAACCAAAATTGGTGAGAGCAAGGGTTCCAGACAGTGAGTGATCCAAGTCTGGATGTGCGTTATGTGTGTGCCTGGTATGCATGCTCAATGATATGTATGTGCAGGCAGTGTGTCTGCACATGTGTGAGTGTGGGTGTGCACATCTTTATGTCTGCACATATGTATAAGTGGATCTGTGTGTGCACAAGTGTATGTGTGCATGCACACATGTGAATAAGTGTGGGGCCACCCCAAACACAGGCTTTCTGTTTGCCTCTCGGAGCGGAGACAGCCTGAGCATCACTGTGGATGGTGTGGTGCTGTGTCCTGGCTACAGTGGTGACACCTTGGCTGATTCGGAAGCTCTTGGTATCCCAAGGCTGGGAAGGGACGGATAAGTCACCTTTCCTACACACAGGATAGTGTCCCACAGCAGTCCTGGGGCACTTGTGCTGTTCCAGGAGAAGCCAGCAGGTGGATCTTTCCCCCGGGGCCTCTCATCCTCCCTGACC